GTCTGTGATTGTCCTGGTTTCAGGTAGGGTAGAGTTAATTTCTTCTCAGTAGCTGTTACAGTGCTGTGTTTTGGATTCAGTATGAAAAAGGTGTTGATAACACACTGATGTTTTGTTTTTTTGCTAAGTCGTGTTTATCCTAAGTCAAGGACTTTTTTCTTGTCTCATGTTCTGCCAATGAGGAGGTACACAAAAGAAACTGGGAGGGAGTATAACTGGGACAGGTGACCTGAACTGGCCAAAGGGATATTCCACAACATAGAAAGTCATGCCCAGTATATAAACTGCGTAGAGTTACCCAGAAGAGCAGTTGATTTGGGTTTAGGAAGGGGGGTCTGGCATCGGTCAGTGGGGGGTGAGCAATTGCATTGTGCATCACTTGTTTTTCCCTTTTAATTATCATTATTATTAGCATTTACCATTATTACAATATTTTTTTTTGATTATTAAACTGTTCTTATCTCAACCTACAAGTTTTACTTTGATTCTCCTTCCCATTCCACCAGGGCAGGGGGGGGAGGCGGGAAGGGAGGTTGAGTGAGTGACTACCTGGTGCTTAATTTCCAGCTGGGCTTAAACCATGACAGTGATCTTCAAAATATTTAACAGATTGATTACTAGGAAGATCACAGTCACAACTGGATTTAGCAGCATATTTTATAACATGTATAGTCATGATTCATCACCATGAAGTGCAAAGTTATTCCACAATTTCACTGTAGTCTGATAGAAGTATGATGCTCCCACATTTTTTTTAAGATTTCATTGGACATTTAGAATGGAATCTATTTCAAGACTGAAACTACAAGCACCAACATGTTATCAGATCTTTTTCCACAAAGATTCCCAAGAGGATAAAATAAAATTAAAAGAAAATAGAATAAACTAGACAATGTCTCAAAAATTTACCTTCAGACTTCAACTTTGTAAGAACAAAAATCAGGTAGTTGTTGAAATCTGGATACTGATTGAGTTGTTCTAGTTTCTGAAGAGAAAAACTGTTAAGGAAATAAATTAAAATCACACACAGCATTTATAGCTTTCTGAATACTATGATTGAGTTATGCACTACTGCATCATTTCAAAATGCTATAAGCTCACAACATACAGAGTATGAACATTCTGAAAACAATTGCTGTAATTTTCATACTGAAGCAGTAGCTTTTTAGTTTTGTTGAAATCTTAGAAAAGAATCCAGGAACAGATACAGAAATCCCCACCCTCCCAAAACCCCCTACGTTCATCTGTACAGTTTTAGATGTCAATATTTACACTTAAAAGCCAGTAAAACCTAAGGAATCCACTGAGACACAATCACATAACACCATTTTTTTTCTCCACAATAAATAAAAGCATTTCAGCATTAAAATACAACAGCTATGATGATTTTGATAAGCTACTCACTTTAATATTAGTCATATACCTTTTTATGATGCTAACTAGCCACAGTCTGAGCTTTCAACTACGAGAAGCTGTTTAATTGTAAATGCCCAGATATTTGTACAAAGAAGTTCATGTTTATCCATGGTCTCTTTAAAACAAAAATACTGTACACAAACCAATTTTCTAGAGTGACACTTCTCTGAATAAGCATCTTATAGCAATACCAGCCTCTTCACTATGTTCTCTGGGGCAACTGCAAGAATTATTATGTTTCTGAATAGATAGAAGGTACATACCTGTTTTTATAAAATTTTTCATTACTTTTGCCTCAAATTTTTAAGTATTCTGCAACTGCTTGGCTAGAACAGCAATCTGGCATTCTCCTTGTATCCTGTTCTCACACCCTGGTATTAATTACTATTATGCTCAACAATATTTTAAATCATAAGCATGCAGTGCCAGCTTTAAGTTACTAAACCTACTAGATATCATCAGTATGGCAAAAAATTAAGACATTTAACAAAAAATTATTTTTAGAGGTAGTAAGATGATTTGCTTCATAGGCATTTACTTTACTTGCTGTACAGCTAAATCTCTAAATATTAAAAGTTGCTAAACCCTAGCCAAATATATTTATGTCGACATTGATGGCCCTTTCAATGATCAATAGCCAGTGTCTCAATCACAAACTTAAAAAACTTCATTTTTAGATATTTAGGTTTCTTATATCAAGCAGTCTAGAGAAACCTGCCCTCTTTCCACTTAATAAGACAGTAAAGTGTACTTATCACAGCCACAAGCTCCTTTGCTATGAAACACAATGAGATGAAAAGTAAACAGGATGGTCACAGCAAGTGAAAAATAATACAGAACATTCTACATGGCTCCTAGAAATGAATAAACACATATCCAAATACTGTTGCCAAAGATGCCATGCCAAAGAGCTCTTTCAGAAACAGACAAGATTTAGGGTAGCATATTTCAAAATTTTTTTCTTCTTCTCCCTCTAATTGATCTAGGAATCAAAGAATAGCTTATAGGCCATATTTTCTCATCAATTTCTTCACCCACTTCAACATTTTCCTTTTTTATTCCAAGAAACATCTATATCTTCATTTGAAAAATGTTTGAAAGCCTTACCAATTCATAATTTGTTAACAAAGGGTTTGGGCTAACTTATGCTCCTCACTTTATTACATTTCAGTTCTAAACACCTAAATATGCCAAAATTGTGTCACAAAGAGCATGAGAGTCAACACATTGATAATCTTATTTAAAAAAATTATGGACGGGAAGCACTTCAAATTTGAAACCATTGCCATTCTAATTAGACATACTACTAAAGTAGGATTCCACAATACAACAGTCATTACAAATTTTTGTGGAAACAATCTCAAAGGAAACTTTTTTTTTAATTATGGGACATGGTCTATCCAGTTGTATTAGAACATTTTCCCAAACTGATAATACAGCGGTAAAAATGTGCCACTTATCTAACCTTTACAGGCCAGCATATGAGGATCTCCTTGAAAGCACAGGTATTTCAGCACAGCAGTGAGTTACAACTGCCATTTAAGAATTTCAAACATCAGTTAACAGCATTTTTGTTCAGTAAATTTTTATTCAAGACAGACAGCATCACCTATATTGTCCATCCTACACATACACTGCTATTTTTCAAAAACAAACCAGATGCCATTATTTGAAGCAGACATTTAAAATGTAATTTTACATGAAAGCTATACTATAATCACTGCTGCTATAAAGACTTTTGTATTTGAAATACTAAAGAAGAGCACCTGTTTAAGTTTGGGGCATTATCAGAACACTTAGCCACTTCTGTATATCATTTTTCAAAGGAAGCAATAGCATCTTAAGAGTCTGAAACATAGCTGCAAAACCAAGGTGAAAAACTACCTCCACCTTTCAGGTAAGAACAGAAGCTTTCCAAGGTTTGACCACATCTGCTAAGAAAGCCTAGAAGTCAAGCAAATTTGGCTTCAAGCTAAACTCCTAACATAACATACATACATATTCTTACCTATGTAAATAAGTTCTGTTGCCTTCTGTGAAGACCTTCAAGCAAATGCCTTAAATAAAAAGGGATCAAGATGCTAAACTCATATTTTTCAAAGGACAATATCCTTTCAGGACTTCTAAATATTTTAAAGCACCTCTATAGTTAGCTCAAGGAGCAGGAGACAGTAGACGAGAGCTTTTCAAGACTTATGCGTCTACTAGTCTTAATGTACAATTTTCCTCTCTTGACACCCAAACAACAAACCAAAAATCCACAACGCTAACACAAAATGCACTGCAAAGCTGCACAAGACACATACAGTAGATTTCACTCTTCTTGTGAAACGTAAAAAGCGTAACGAACAGTATTTCAGGCTCAGGATTCTAGGCAGGCAGAAACATCCTCACAACATAGCAAAATACAGTGTCAGAGCCAGCAGGCCAACGAGAGCATGCAGCCAGCAGCTCCATCAGGAACATTCCTCCCACCAGCTACGGCTTTCGCGGTGAATCCCAGCGCCGGTTAGTTTAGGAAGCCCCTGATCGTCCCTACTTTGCCGCCGGGGCGACAGGTACCTCGCGCCGCATTATGAACTCAGCTTGGAGGCAGAGGCCCCCGCTCCCCCGCCCCAGCCCTCTAGGTGGGATCCGCCGAGGATGAGGGCTAGGTGCTGGCAGCGGCCCAGCGTGGGGTAATCTGGGAAAGCAGCAGATACCAAAGCAGCCACACGGAAAACAGGGCTTAAAAAGAAAAAAAACCGAACCTTAGCTCCGGGCTCGCAACATGTCCCCGGACACTCGGCGGGGGAAGATGGCCTCGCGGCCTATTGGGCGCCTCGGCGGTTCAAACACCGCGCCATGGCCACCCGCAGAAGCGGAGGCTCAGCCCACTGTGTTCGCTGTCGCGGCTCCCCAGGCAGGTCCGGCCGCCGCCTGCCTGCCTGCTACAGCGCCGGCCTGCGGCCGCGCTGCCCCTAAACGGCGCCCCCAGCCTCCCCAGCGGTCGCCCGGACCGCCGCGGCCCCGCTCTGCCTGCTCCACCCGCCCGCGCGGCGTAGGCCTCGACCAAGGATACTTGTTGCACGGCTCTCTGCGTGGTGGTGTCCGGGGACTGGGATTCCTTGAGCAGCTGCAGGATCTGTAGAAGCCCCTGTTCGTCAGGCTTCCACTCATGCTCCATCTTGGCTTGCTGAAAAAACACTAAACAAGAGGCCACGATTAGCGGCGCGGCAGGCGCTGGGAGGGAGGGAGGGAGAAGCAAGCAATCAAGATAGATAGATAGCTAGCTGCGTGACGACCGGCCCGCTCTTACCCGAGCCCGGCCCCACAGAAGGATAGCACTAACCTGCTCCTGTACACGGACTGAGTCACGGCGAATTTGCACTCTGGCCGTAAGAGCCACCTCGCGTCCTCCTGGGTCCTAGCACCGAGCGCGCCCCGCCCGCCCGAGCCGCCTCGGGCGCGCCGGCACCGCCGTCAGCCTTTCCCTAGTGCATTCCACACCGTCAGGAGCCTGAGGGCGACAAAACGCGAGCCCCTCAATTCCGGCCGGCGGAAAACGGGGCGCCTCGTCCACAGCCCTTCCCCACCACCACCCGAAACAAGAGAGAAAGCTCCAGCAGCCCCGACAGGCAAAGGGCGAAGCAAAGCCCCAGCCCGGCCTCCTCGGGAGAGCTGCGGCCCCGCACCCGCTGCGCCTGGCAGCCCACGGAGGAGAAGTAGGGATGCGAATGCAGACCCAAGAGTTAGGAACGTGGTATCTGCTTTGCTGTCTGCTTTACTTCTACATGATTTGGTTTAATGATGGATAGATTTCATAAGTTCTCGATTTCACGTGTAAAGAGGGAATAAGACCAACTATGCAAGAAGGGGGAAAAGAAACTCAAAAGAAACTACTTTCAATACCTAGTGTATCTTAGCCTTAAAATACATCAGAGGAAATTTCAGGTCAAAATTAGCAATTTTTGTGTATATAGAATAGAATAGTTCAGTTGGAAGGGACCTACAACGATTTTAGAAAAAAATTTCTTCACAGAAAGGGTTGTCAGGCATTGGAACAGGCTGCCCAGGGAAGTGGTGGAGTCACCATCCCTGGAGGGATTTAAAAGACTTGTAGATGGCCTTGGCAGTGCTGGAATAATGAGTGCACTTGATGATCTATAGGTTTTTTCCAACCTAAACAATTATATTCTATGATCATCTAGTCCAACTGCCTGACCACTTCAGGGCTGACCAAAAGTTAAAGCATGTTATTAAGGGCATTGATCTAATGCCTCAAATGCTGACAGGCTTGGGGCATCGACTGCCTCTCTAGGAAGTCTGTTCCAGTGTTTGACCACCCTTTTGGTAAAGAAATGCTTCCTCAGGTCCAGTCTGAACTTCCCCTGGCACAGCTAAGAACCATTCCCACCCATCCTGTCACTGGATCCCAGGCAGAAGAGCTCAGCACCTCCCTCTCCATTTCCCCTTCTCAGGAAGCTGCAGAGAGCCATGAGGTCACCCCTCAGCCTCCTTTTCTCCAAACTAGACAAACCCAGAGTCCTCATCTACTCCTCATAGGACATGCCTTCCAGCCCTTTCACCAGCCTTGTTGCCCTTCTCTGGACACATTCAAGGACCTTCACATCCTTCTTTAATGGTGGACCCAGAACTGCACACAGCACTCAAGGTGAGGCAGCACCAATGTTGAATAGAGTGGGGTTATCACCTCTTGACTGACTGGTTCTACTGTGTTTGATGCCCCCCAGGATGCATTTTGCCCTCTTGGCTGCCAAGGCCCACTGCTGACTCATACTGAGCCTGCTGCCGATGAGCACTCCCAGATCCTTTTCTGCAGGGCTGCTCTCCAGCCACTTCTCTCCCAATTGAGCCTGGTGTTACTCCATCCCAGGTGCAGAATCCAGCATTTGGAGTGCTTACATTTCATGCCATTCATTAATGATTTCCCAATCTTTTTATATGTATAAATACATTTGCATTACATACATATTATATATGTATATATCATATATATGCTACTGGGCAAAATAAGAACGTACACTGATTAAAACTGGTCTAAAATATGAAAATGAAAAACAGTAATTACTTAACCTTTTACAATTTTATTTTTAGTCACTGTGTTTGCAATCATCCTGCTTACATCCCTCTTGTCATGGTTTGAGAGCTCCAAAATCTAATTCTCTAGTCCAAACCCCCTCCCACATCTCAACCCAATGTGAGATGGTTTTCCAGACACCACACGAGACTCAGAATGGGGGAAAGGGAATATATTACAATGACTGTAAAAATAAATACTACAATACATTATATACAATCTTAATTATCTCTACCATGACATAAGTATTTACAATGGATCAAATCTCTTCTCCCCTCCAAATAAAAGTCCAGGAGGGAAGAAGGAAAAGGTCCCTTTCTACTCTCAGAGCAGCAATGTCTCTAAGGCAGCAGGCATCTATCCTCTTCTCATGCAGCAGCTGTAGCTGGATCTCTGCCAGTACACACGAGGGGGTATCCAAGCCCCTCGACCACTCGTCTTCAAGCGAGGGTCTTATCTTCTGTGGGCTGCGTTCACTCAGACAATGGTCACGTCACCACGTCATACCACGAAGCACGGGGGTCTTCGTGACGGTCTGTATCTTCAGGGGATTCAAGTCCCCTTTGCAGAGCTCTGTGCTCTGTCTCAAACAGCGAGGAGGGCCAAGGTCACCCTCTCCACATTCATTCTCTGAGCTTTTTAGCTCCTCTCTGCAGTGCTGCTGCAGTTTTAGGACTTCCATTCAGTAGGAGTCCATCCTTTCCACTTAGGAAAGGTCACAAAAGGAGTTTGGGGTTTTTGGTTCAGTTTCTTACCCCAACTCTGTCTCTGTTTGAGCTTAGTTCTCTCTCTCTGTGGCTGGCTCTCTCTTGGCTCTCTCAGACAACTCTGTGTCTTCCTTGGCTGCATGTTTGTTGCTGCTTCTTCAGTTATCTCTTGGCTCTTAGCCACAATCTCTGGATGCTGCTTCTGCTGCTGCTCTGTCTCTGCTCACTCACGGTGAAGAAAACTTCTTTAGCTTTCAGCCACAGGTACTTAGCCCCAGCCTTATACTGTTCCAAGTCCCTGCAGCCCCCCCAGCTGGGGCTGGGGGGCCAGAGCCCCCCAGGGGCTCCTCCCCTTTCTCCTCGTGGCTTTACAACATGGCTACTTCTCCCAACAACAACTACCTTCTCTTCCGTTCTGCTTGTGATATGTTTATATTTTGCAGAAGCGCTCATTGGGTAAAACCTCAAAACTTCAAGGGTCACCACTCCCTGGGGTTTTACCATTTTATAACTGCAGGGGGAAAACTGTTTCCCCCTACCACACCCCTTCAACTGAAAACTTCCTGCTTCCTCTCCTGCAGCATAGTACTCAATATGAGTGCCACACATATGCTGCACATCACAGCCTTTACAACTGTTCAAAGGCACCGAGGGCAGGAAACATTAGTGGTTCCTAACAGTGTGGCCCAGGTAATTTGCTGTGTGGTTCTTCACCTCACCTCCTCAATGCTTTCAATTAAATCCATATTTAAGTTACAGTCAACTGTCCAGTCTCAGGTGCTAACATGTGTCCCAGAGACAAGTGTCTCCAGGTGCTAAGAAGTGTCCTGGGAGAGTAAAGGCTTGCCACCAGTTAATAGGAAAGGACAGGCACAAAAGTTTATATGAGGTTTTTGTGAGCAGTCCCTCTAGTACAGAAAAGTGTCAAGCAAAGGATCTGGGTTAGCCAGGCTCAGGCCATTAAAACCTATGCTCGTGGCTCACAACCATATGGGCAGAAGAGTTCTCCATACTGATGCTTGCACAGATGGAGCAGATGAAAGGTGAGGTCCAGCAAATCAAGGAAGGGCTAATTTGGGTCTCATTACCCTAACCACTGCCTTGCCAGGAAAGCTGCAGAAATTTGATTATCTTTGAGACTTTTGGACCACTGTCAAATTCGGTTGAAATTGATTAGAGCTTCAAAAGTTACTATTCAGAAATTATGACACAAGGATTACATCTGTCTAATTTTATCAGGAAACCAAGTGCACTAGACAAAAATAAGATTAAATATAGAAAACAAGGGAATAGAACCAGAAAGGAAGGTTGAGACAGAACAGGAAAAAGCAGGAAGAGAAGCAGGCCATAGATCCATAACTAAGAAAAACTGACATAGGTTTCCTTTCCATGAACATGACCAGAATTAAATCCCAGAAAGATCTTTCTGCAGTGGAAAAGAGAGAAAAAGCCTGGAAACAAACAGGACCCCATGGGAGCAGGGAAAGGACTCTCTCTGAGCAGCAGCAAAAACAACTGACCATAACCCCCATTCCCCATCCCCCTGTACCGCTGGGAAGGAGGAGGGAGAACATGCAAGGAAGGAGGGGTGGGGGGAAGGTGTTTTTAAGATTATTTTACTTCTCACTCTTTTGCTCTGATCTTGTTAGTAATAAATTCAATTAATATCCCCACTTTGAGTCTGTTTTGCCCGTGATGGTGATCAGTGACCTCTCCCAGCTCTTAACTCATGAATCCTTCACTGTTTTTTTTCTCTCCTCTGTCAAGTTGCATAGGGGAGTGAGAGAGCGGCTTTAGTGGGTACCTGGCATCTAGCCAGGGTCAACCCACTACATTAGGAGAGACAAACCAGGAAGGTGTGGTGATGGAATTGCCCTCTATGCGAGGCTACACTTGGAATGTATCAAGCTCTGTCTTGAGGTGGATGACAGTCAAGAGCTTATGGGTTAGAAGGCAGATGAGTAAGAGTGACACCGTTGTGGGTATTTGCTACAGGCCAACTGATCAGGAGGCCTTCTACAGACATCTTGAAGCAGCCTCACAGTCTCAGGCCCTGGTTCTTGTGGAAGATTTTAACTATCCTGACATCTGCTGGAGAAGCAACACATCAAAGCACAAATGGTCCAGAAGGTTCCTGGAAAGCATTGATGACAACTTCCTGTCACAGGTAGTGGAGGATCCCGCAAGGAATGGTGTGCTGCTCGACCTCATACTAACAAACAGGGAAGGCCTTGGAGATGTGAAGGTTGGGAGCAGCCTTGGCTACAGTGACCATGAGATTGTGGAGTTCAGTATCAGGTGAGGAGAAAGCAGAGCAGCAAGTAAGATTGTAACCATGGACTTCAGGAGAGCTAACTTTAGCCTCCTTAGGGATCTTGGAAAAATCCCATGGGAACA